TATTTCACACTAATTCACTACACTGCCCATAGAGTGCCCATGTAATTCGCGTCAAGTGCTGTACTTCAGCAAAAACCAATACTCATTAAACAAAGAGCTCAGGCTCTTACTGAGCACAAACACTTCATAACAAAATAAACATGATGTTGAACGCAGCAACATGAACGCTTCTGATCTGTTTACCTTACATCATCTTATTGCAAGACTACTGATGTTGGAGATTAAAGAGAATATCTAGATCACAGAAAACAGATCGTTAAACTACATTTGCTGTGGTGTGTTAGACGATCCCAACACCAGTAGGAGTACAACAGAAAGCAGTTCAGCTGCGGGCATTTACTGCTAGAAACACAAACTCTGAGGCTATCTATAAGACAGTTTGAGTAAATAAAATCATTATAATTTATTTGTCATAAAAACTGAAAAGCTGCATAAAATACATTATTTTAATTTCCACAGTGACTGTAAAGACTGTCACGGATTCATATGTATCTGTAATGTTGCAGCTGTGATTATATTTACACTATCATATAAATGCTATAAACACTATCATATAAATGCAGTGCTGTAAATTTTGTTCAGAGGCTGGGTAACATGTAACATTTGGGGACAAAAAAGATTTCTCCGGCTATTGCCTCTTCCTAAATGGCAGCAGGCAGTGGCCATTACCTCCACAGATCAGAGGCATAAACCCCAGGGGACACCCATACAATCAGTGAGAAGCCATTAGACGCCAGCAGAGTCTCAGTGGGTGCAGCCTTTGGCAACGCCTAACAGGCCTGATACCTAATTGATCAGACACCAAACAGCCCTCACAGAAGTGTGGGGTTTTATAATGGATGCCATTACAACAGTGGGTTTGCCCACAGTTCTAAGACTGAGGGACCTTTCAATAATACACTTTGCATCTCCTCTATGGAGGATGTTAGAGGCAATACCTGGCTGAGCTTAGTGATCCTGCTTTTGAGGCGAAAACAGGGGTCTAATGACAGCTTTGTCTTCAGGTTGAGAGGCCTGTTCAAGCTAGTTTTCCACCTTTCAAATGTTGTTCCAGCAGGCAGACATTGAAGTGCAGGTGGAAACATGTCTGACTGAACCCAGAGCAGTTATGCCATTGCTTAAAATGGCAACATTTGAGACATATTTCTCAGGTACAACAACTAGAAGTCCAAATTTGATGCTAAGTCATATTTTCACGGCATTAAAAAAATGACTTTCTTCCCCCTATTTCAGGGACCAATCGTGGGTTTCCTGTGACCCAGGATTGGTTAACCACTGTGTTTTCCATAGCGTGAAAACTAAAATCCACAAATGCTGACTTTGATGAAATTAAATTAAAAAACTGTTTAACAACAATGGTATATGGAAGAGCAACTCTTAGTACACCACAATAAACCTTTGTCCGTACAAATGGTGGTCCTAAACTCAGTTGCCAGTTTATTAGGTACACCTAGCTGAAACTAATGCCGTCTTAACAGTTCTGTAATAACTCCCTCCTTCACGAAGGATTGCATTAATATATATTATTTGTACTGTTACCTAGCCTATCCTCATTGATATAAATGGGGTGGACAGAATGACCACAGTTGAATCAACACTACCCACAGTTTGACACCACATCAGTTTTAGCTAGGTGTACCTAATAAATTGGAGTGTAGATTTTACTGAAAGACATTTCTGCCAACAATCAACTTAGTTTAAAATCGACGGATTGCTTTACCGATCATATGACATGACTGTCCTATAATGGGGTATCTTGAAGTTGTTGTGGTATGCACATTACACGAGTGCTCGGCAACAGGGGGTCACACATTACGAGACATTTTGTTAGGAGGAATCCCCGATAAGTGTGGTTTTCAAATTACTTTGAACAAAGCACACTCAAGAAGTGATATGCTAAAAGACCTAGTCATGCTTTCTGATGATCTGCTGCAGGTGTTACGACTCCTCCCCCGACATTTCCCCCGTTTGCGGGAGTGAGCGCCTCTGATCTGGGGCATTAGTCAGAAAATACATATTAGTGTAGAACTCGCAATTAGAGCTTTGGTGACCAAAGACAGCCAGAGCCATTTTCAAAAGACAAAAGTTCACCAGGGATTCACAGAAAAAATGTCAAATGCCTCAAAATGGATCATACAGTGTGTCATAGATCACAACAGAGATTTTATTAGACCATCTTGCACAGAGTGACATATAATGCACCTTCCAAATTGCTGTTATTATACAGTGTATCTGGGCATCAAAACTGGCACTGCCGTAGGTAAATGTCCCACCAAAAGCCTTAATGCTTGCACACTCGAACAGCCTGAATAGATGTCTCACTGTGGAACCAAAATAAGTCAATATAAGATCATCAGTCATAGTTGCTAACCGCAATGTTTCAGGAAATCAGGAGATTAAGCTGTTTTAATGTAACATTATGAAAATACTATAACATAACATGAAAATCATGTACTCATTTCAGTTGCCATCGAGCCATCACGTAAACCTGAGCACATGGACTTGGCCAACTCCTGCAAGTCCCCGTCCATTAACTGCTTGCTCAGGCAGGATGACGGTTAAGATGACATGGGAGCCGAGGGTGTGTGTGTGTGTGTGTGTGTGTGTGTGTGTGTGTGTGAACATGACTGATGGGTTTGGTGCCATTTCATGACAGCTGCTGGGATTTCCTAGAGCAGGTGTGCATTAGACTGAGGGCATGTTTCTCGGTACAGGTTGCTTAAGTGTCCACATGTCCCCTGACGACTGTCCCCTCACCTCACATCAGCGCAGGTATCCTGTCACACATCACTGCACTCTCTGTTTGGTTACATATCTGTGTTTCCTCTTATGTAACTAGAATTTACGGCTTTACGAAGTACAGGTTTGGCATGGGCCAGTTACCGGTTTCAAGCTATCCAACGGTATGAAAAAGTCTAAAATTGTCTGTTATACCATTGTGGTATCACCTGTTTTTTTTTTTTTTAAATGTCTCGTCAAAGATGGAAAGTGCTAAAAATCCCACAGGTTGTGTGCAGCATGGAGAGTAACATGACTCCTCCCCCTCCGGTTGGTGCGAGCAATCAGTCACCTGTGTGTAAGATGGCAGAAGGAGGGGAACCCCCGAACATTTTCCCACCATCGAAAAAGACGAAGGTAGTAGGACAAATAGGATATCCCATCTACAGGAGCACCACTCATCGCTAAACTCAAGGTAACGCTATCTTGAAATAAACATATCCAACAAGCTAAGAGAGTTAGCATGTTTAGCACTGGTGAAAAAAATACTATTGGATTGCTAACGAGGCAGATAAAATGGTTAATTAACTAGCTAACATCAGCGAGTTTCACCCCTCATATTACTGAACAGAGCAAAGTACTATGTTTCTGCGATTTAGTACAATAATTAAATTTAGCTGGCATCTACATTATACTTTTGTTTAAGTCTTCCACCATTGTGTTCATCTGTTAAAAATCCTGACATTTGAAAAAGAAAACAACTGTTGTCTCGTGTATTTTTCATTGTTTGTTGTATGGAGGGAGACATACGAGCTCACTTTCCCTCATATGTTTGTGCATCAATACTGAAATAACATCGACTTTACCAGCCCATGCCTGATGCAGATGAAGAAATAAATGCTCACTCTGCAGTGAAGGAGCACATCCCTCTATTACACAATGAAAAGGAGATGTCACTGAACCAGGCCATAGATAGATAGATAGATCTATCTATATACACACATACACTTTGCAGGTTTGTACATGATCTGACAATCACATAAAAGAAGGCAAATTTCAGCTGATGCCTTCATTAAGCCCCAGTACTATCATTATATTGGAGCCAGACCAAAGATTCTTTTTAATATTACATGTACTGTAGTAACATACAAAGAAGCATTTAAACTGCAGATCAATCAGGAACAGAAATACGAGTACAAACCCAGAAACTACCACATTCTTAATAATAAAAAATATAAATGTTTTTCTGGCTGATAACTGTAACTGTTTTATGGGTCTGTTAATTCCTAAATTTTTGTGTCCAGAAAAGAAAAAAACAAAAGCAATTAATGATTTTCAGAAGAATTAGCCAGAGTGTGGTACTTTTACATACAAATGATCCCTGATCAAATTAATGCTGATTAGGCCTTTTCATTGCCAGGTAAATCTCTCTGTATTCGCTATACACTGGAGTTTTTAGATCTGGTGTCTGTGGCGACATTCCCGTGCTGGCTGGCAAAATGGCAGTGATGCGTTTTAGGCCAATCAGCAATGATTGGTCTGCCAGAGCTAAAGGGCGGGCGGTGGGGGGTGCACCAGTAGAGACAAAAGCAATTTAGTATGGCTTAATCATAAAACTACATAATTTATTAATTGCTTTATATTTTGGATTAATAATCTGACTGCAAAATCTGCTGCCAAACATGTGGTGTAGAAGAAATACAAAGCTACATAGTATTTTAACTTAAGTACACTTAATTACATCCCACCGCTGGCAATTTGAACTTACTCAGAGGTAGCACAACTGGCTCCAGAGTTTGAGTCTGTATGCAGCACTGTACAGTTAGCCACTTCATGAGAACAACTTCCCATCAACGTCACAGTCCCTTGCCCTTGTTAAAGTCAAGTCAACATTATGTGTGGTGTACGTGTTTGTTCCCAGCATCGCCCTTGTGGATGTTATGCCTCGAGCCTGTCTGCTATTTCAGACACCGAATGAGCCTCGTTTTATGCATTTATTCATTTCAACTCATGCACACAAGGTAACGGGTGATAAGTTTGCTGCTAGGTTGATTCAGGTGCATGACTCATCAATTTAATTAACTTTTCTGCGAGTGGGTCCTGGTTATTGTGAGAAAGCCTGGCTAGTGCACGACTGAACATGTTCAGAGCACTCAAAAACAAAATCTGAATTTATTTGTGCAGCTATAGACCCAACAATTTGCATGTGTTTAAATGGCTTGGTTGGGAAAAAAAACCAACCTGGTTATGTAGCTTGATGTCATGATGTCAGCCTCACTCACCTTCAGCCTCTTGAAGGAACCTCTGGTGACCACAGCTGCCCATTAGCTCGTACTTGCTTTTTTCTTCTGCCTAGAAACAAACACACAGACAGTAAGCGGAGAGCAATTATACCCAGCACACAAATTTATTACATAAGAAGAGTGTCGGTGACTTTCTCCTCAACAGATCGGTGGACACGTCAGGAGTATTTATAGAGAGAGACTGATATTCAGGATTTACTGAGAGCTGCAATGCCTCCTCATTATGGACGGATAACCATACCTTTTAAAATTGCTGCCACACAATCTCAGATTCCAGACAGCCACTGTAACAGCTACAGCTACTGTGGTGTGAAAATTGGTGGTGGAGCGCAGCCATATTGCTTTCAGTATCGCTAAGAGGCCACAGAGCACACAAAGATGGATTTGTTGACGGGAGCATCATCATGTTGAGAATGAATGAGGCTAGTACATAAAAGTGATCATCTGTAATGGTCGTCAGCTGATTACACTGGTGGATTTCCCTGCAGTTGGCTCGATTCACAAATGCATTGGGTTTTTTTAAACCAATGGTCGACGGCATGGAAAACGTCTAGCATTGTTTTTTAATATTCATGCTTTATATCACAGCACTCCAGGGGTTAAATGAATTTGCTCACATTTAATAGCAATAAGTAGGGCTGTACCAAATATTTAGATCCAAACATTTCCAACAACACAGTGTTGTCAAGATGTTTTTATCTCACGAAATATTCAGCTTCAAGCCGTATTAGCTGCTGTTTAGCCTTTTCTAAACCACAGTGACCAATAATCTATATCTATTGCCTCTTGTAGTTTGTGACGCACTGAGTGAAGGTCGCACCCACTGAACTTCTATACTGGACTGTTTTTGGTATTAAAGTGCTGCCTACATGTATTTATGGTGATGAAACGGACGTTTTTTTTAGGCTGATGACATAAAATGACAACAGACATTCAAAGCTTCATTCAACAACCTCAATAGAAGCTTTGAATGTAAAAAAAAATAAAGAAAAAAAATAAAATTAAAAGATATCCGGTGCAGCCCTAGCTGTAAGGATGGAAAATAATCAAATTATCTATATTCCATATAATGTTGTTCAATATTCTGGGAGTAGACTTATTTGCTTTCTTCCCATAAGTTAGATAAGAAGGGTTGATACCACTCCGTGTCTGTAAATTAAATGTGGACCTGGATCCAGAAGATTATAAGCTTAGCTTCGCATAGAGACTAGAAGCAGGAGGAAACTGCTAGCCTGGCTACCAAGTTTCAAAAGTCCTCACCTCTAAGTCAAAGTCTAAGTCATAGATGAGTGTAAAGGAAGATGCTGCACCAGGCTGTTGTTCACTAACAGTCACAGCACATAACTCCCTCTAAAACCACACATTACATTTCTATATGAATAAAACAATGAAGATTGTATTTTTAAACCTGGTAGCTGTTCCCCCTGGCTTCCTGTTTTTATGCTAAGCTAGGCGTATTGCCTCCTGGCTCCTGACAGTGCTACTAATCTTCTCACCTGCTTGACTTTTCTCTTTTTTCCCCTTTTGGCTGAACAAACACCTCTGAGAAGACTGTGTCTGATCCCACACCCACATTAAAATAAAGTATAATACTTTAATGCTATGATTTCAGCTTATACACAGAGAGTGGAGACACTCCCATCTTCCTCAAGTGTTTATTCCAATCCTTATATGGAATAACTAAGTGGACAAGAACTTCAAAAGTACAAATGCTGATTGAACACATTTGTTTACGTTCAGTTTCAGATATTTTTCCAGCCTCTTTTAAAAACCAACGTCTATGAGCTGCTATTCATTCGTTTTAATCCCCATCAATAGGTATTCCCATGATATCAGACGTTTCCCCCCCAAAATGTCTGTCTGAACTCAGGGTACAATGACTTACATAGTCAAAATGTGTGAGCGGTTGATAGCATAAAGCGGATTAGAGAGTTTTGGATTGGCCTACCTCCGAGTTCCTCTCCGGCGCCCGACTCTCCATGATCTCATAAGCAGGATCAGCTCTGCGTCTTTCCTCGTTACTATTAAGCCTTTTGTCTAGTGGGAGAAAAATATAGTGTGTTTTAAATATAGGAAGCTAAACATTTTTTGTGCCAATAGCCCAGGAAGAAAATAATCGTTTTTTTTTTAAACAATCCATTTTGCAGGGGGGAAAAGCAGACATGGTGCTCTCTAGGTATGAATGCAGGAATTCCTGCAGAAGAGCCATTGGGACAAACAACATTGAGTCATCGTCTCACAATACCACAAACAAATAAAAGCTGTACTAACAACATGCAAGGGACAGACATCACCACCTGCATGCTGGTAAAGAGGCTGCACATGCAGCAGACAGTTTAGTGTCCTGTGCAAACGTGAAACCCAATCTAAACACTAAAATGTAAACACTGTTATCACTGATACTTTCAGTTTTATGATGTAGAAGGCCTTTACATTACAGCCTGACTGATACATCAGCACTGACATTATTATCTGATAATTTAGACAATACTGATAGATTTGAGAATAACTTTCTTCTTTATTGATATAATTGTCTATTTGTTTTACATAAACACATGACCAAGATTTTTGTTAAGGATTCCTTCAATTCTTATTTTTAAAGGAATTGTGACCACAAAGTGTACCGAGCAGGACATTTTACAGACTATGCGACAGCAACAGCCTGTAAAAGGACCTTGAACAAACCTTTGGCATTTCTGCGCTGCAATTTCTTGTTACTTAAAACATATATACTGATACGAGTTACTATCACACTCTGGCATACACACTCAGGCACCAGTTTGTCATTAGGCACACCTAGCTAGAACTAATGCAGTCTAATGCAACAGTCCTGCAATAAATCCTCCCTTCAAATATTCAGTTTGTGTTGAAACCTTTTTTAGAAAAGGTGGAGGCGGCAGTTTGTGCTGCTGTTGACGTGTATTGCTTTACACAGAGATGTGTTTTATTACGCCTACCCTCACTAATACAAATAAACACAAAATTTCAGAACAGAACTGCTAAAGATGCTGTATGTTTGAGGTATTTTACAAACAGTGTCCCCATTACATAGTTTGTCCACCAGAGAGTGCTGACAAGGACATTTTTCACAATTCTTAATCAAATTTAAGTAACTTGAGGGTATCAAAAATATTTTATGTTAAAAAACTAAATAAACAAATTTTGGCCAATAAATTGTTTTGTTGTGTTCTGGTACCACTTTCCAACAAGGAGCTCTTTTTTAAGGGTTTATAAGTTCTAACTGATTGCTAATAAATTATTTATTAATGCTTTATAGTTTACTTAAATAAGTAGTTTTGGGTTGCCAGGTTGCAAGATATTTCTTTGGCTGGTTGTTAATAAATGCTTAAGTCCTTTACTAATGCCTTCTAAATGAGTTTTAAGCCAACCTTCGGGTTGTGACAAATCTCTGACAGTGCCTTGTGATTGCTTACCTTTCGGAAAATGTATTAACAAACTTATATTACAATTTAAAACCCTTTGTAACAGGGGCCTTATTAAAAAATGGCACCGACTCTGAGGTGGAGCCTATATATCATTGCTTATTTCATTACTCTTGCAGCAACTTCAATCCCATCTGCTTTTCACGGCCCTGAACCAGCTCAGTTGTGAAAGCAACACAACAAAAGGAAAGATCAGAGTGAAGAGAGAAAACAAGCAGTTGATTAAACAAACTAAGCCAGGAGGAAAGTGTTTTTTTATTGATGATAAAGAGAACAACAGGACTGAAACAAAGAGAAGATCCGTTTCAAAGGACTGAAGAGGAAAAGGACACCAGAGGAATTGTAGAAGCTTAGTTATGAGTTCTAGAGGAAACTAGAGAAGAGGCCTCTTACCTTCACTGTTCACTTTCTGACCATCCATCTCTTCATCCTGACACTGCCCGTCCACGCTCTGCGATCCATCACTGTGAGCTTGACAGAGCAGTCCCTCATTAGCCGCTACTTCGTGTTCTTGGCTTCTCTTCAGCAGCCCAGTTGGAAAGGGCTGTGAAGTGGAGATGCACCTGTTGCGGTGCATTTCAGCCGGTGCGACCCGTGGAGGAGGGTGGCAGTGCTCTCCTTGACACTTCAAACAGTTTTCATAAATGGCAGCTCTTTTCTCTTGCTGTGAGTCGTGTGACGGTACACGGGGGCCAGTTGGCGCAGATTTGAGCTCATTTCCAAATCTCGGGCTCATGGACTCATACAAGTTCAGTCTGTTGGTCTTTGCCTCCAGCTGCCTGTCTGGGCTTGGAAAGCCTAACAGATCAGCTAAGAGACTGGCTAACTTCTCTCTTCCTTTCTTTGGCAGCGGTGAATCTTCACTCATCCTCACTGTTGGCTCCTCTGAGCTGTGGATGCTCCCAGAGCCAGAAGAGGCACAGGATTTCTCCAGAATTTTCTTCACGGCAATATTGTATTCGCTGGCAGCGCTACGTGTGCATGCTGGTTTGTCAACACTTTGATCTGCTGGATTGAATATGTGATGTTCTGGAGGCAGAAAAACCCTTTGACACACTGATTTTTGTCCCAAATCAAATCAGCAAACCATGAATGCTTTTTCTCATACATGCAGCAACTCTCTTCATGCATGCAGGGATCATTGCATGCAGTGTACATAGAATATTATAAGTGATTACACTTACCTGGTATGGCAGGTATCACTGAACCACTCACAGGGATGTAGGGCGTCCCCTGTGAGAAGAAATCCAAAAAAAGACACGCATGATATTCTTAACGCAAACTTAAAGATGCATCATTTCCTGGGTGCCGTGTTTTTCAGCAAAGGCTTCTCAAACAGGGGGAATTTTTTTTGTTTGTTTATTTTCAGATGCCTATTTAGTACTCCATGATATCTACAGCAGTAGGACAGTTTATATGTATGCATACAGTACAGTGTTACAAACATGTCACCCAGTGTAATAGTGTGGCTCATTTATGCCTTTTTGGAGTAGTTTTTGGACAACAATGGAGCTCTATGGCACAGAGGAAGAAGCAACATCAGGCTTTGGATACACCGATAATTGGATCAATTCTTTCTTTGTTTTTGGTCATTTATTAATTAAGAAAAAGATATCCCTCTAACAGTGGACTGTGCAGTTTCAAAGCTGGTCATGGTGTCATGGCTGCTCTGAATACCAGACAAAAGCATCCATCACAAAGAGCATATTCAACAACAATTTTTCTTGTCAAACAAACATTCAAGTGTGTTAAACAGTGTGTATTACAATACAATTAATTATAATACAATGGTGTTGATGCATTCATAAATAAATTCCAAAATGTGAAATCACATGTACTTAGTTTGTTGTTGTTTTTCTTTCACTGTGAGCCAATATACAGGGGAGGATTATGTTGCTCAGGCTGAGGATGATAAATGCCCTCCCACACTGCTCATGCCTGATCCATCAGCTTGTGTTTAATTTAGTTCACCGAGGACTCACTGGACTTTCCCCCCCCCCCCCGGTAATCAAATGCAATTTGCATTCTTAACTAAATGCACTGCCAGCAGGTGGAGCTATCAGTTTAGAGTATTCAATAAAAGTGACTGACCAAGAGAAAAAAAAAATTGACCAAGTTCGTTCAAATGATAAGGATTTCCAAGGAAATGTAAATCAGAGCTAAAGCTCAGCCTTAAAAGAGTGGAGCTCAGGCACTACAAATGCAAGAAGATATCTGATAAATGTGCTGCAGATTTCTACTATAAATCATCACAGACATGAGGAACAAAATCACAAGTTCAAAAGGTATAAATGATGTAAAGCTGTTTATCACAGCCAAGCAGGATAGAGCTCAAAATCCAGGGGTTGTCCTAAAACACTTTTCACTATTCACTTACAGCAGCTTATCAATAGTAGACACAATGGAGACAACACAGTAAAGCTGAAACAATTGGTAAATTAATGAAACAGGTGATTGTCAGAAAATTAATAGGCAACTATTTTGATAGTAGATTCAAGTCAATTTTAAACAAAATGCCAAACATTCTCTGGTTCCAGCAACGCAAATGTGAACATTATTTTATTTTTTTCCTGATATTAAACTGCATATCTTTGGATTTTGAAACAAACAAGCGATTTTTGTGATGGACAGCCATTTTCTTCATGACCAAAAGATTTAGGAAATAATCCCCAGATTAACAGATAATGAAAATAATGGTTAGTGGCAGCCCTAAAGCAAAGATGAATCAAACTCCAACTCCAGAATTGCCTACCAACGCTATGATTGCCAAGTCAAGGAGAAACTCAGGAAAGCGACAGCTCAGGAGCTTATTCCTGGGTATAGAAGCCGCAAATAAACTTGGATGACATGTTATTCCCATAAAAAAGAACCCTCCCTGAGCCAAACAGCATTGAGTTTAGCAATAAATAGGACATAGAGGTGTAAAAAGAGAAAAACACTCCCAAGGTCAAAATCTGCTGGATACAATGACAGCGTCAACCACAATTGACCGCTGACAGGCTAACTTCTTAAGACAGATGGGACACAGGACCGTTTGTTGTTTTGACACCAAACACAGAGCACCATCACCATCAGCCTGCACAATACCACAAAAGGTCAAACTGACGGCAAGCTTCAGAACAGATGATAGCGTGATGATGAGGCCTGCTCACACAAGCTGTTACTTTATTACCGTCGAGTTATACAACCAAGCACATTCAGGAGGAAGATGCCATTTTTTCAAGTCTTGAGACAAACAGATGGCCGAGGAGAATAGAACTACACTTACAACTGAGCTCAATTCAAGTCTGTTTCTGGCAAATCTGTAAAAAGACAAGGTTTTAGTCAGCAAAACTGACGCCGAAAGATATCTTTCCACTCACCTTAAATCCGCCACACACTGAGCAGATGGTCACGATTGTTTTGGAGACAGATGTGAGAGAGGCGCAGATGTGGCAGGAGTTTGGGTGTTCACTAGAGGGCGCCACCTTGGTTTTCTTACTCTCCTCTGAGGGTCCCTGTAAGTGTTCACTTATCGACTGACTGTTAGAAGTTTCCAATGGACCCTCAGAGGTCATGGCACTGCTTTTATTGACACTTGCTGAGTCTGTTGTGAGGCCTAAAGAGGCAGGGGTGTCTTTAGTTGGGGTGGAGGGTTCATTATCTTTGGCGCCCCCACTCTCCTCCTGTAACAGACTCCTGGGAGAGTCATAGAGATACCTAAGTGATGTTGGTACCTGGTATTCATGTCCAGAGGAAGTGGGGCAAGTACAAGGGCTCAGGTCTTGAGCCAAGTGGGGAGGCAAACTGAAAACAGACCCAAAGTCCTCCCCGGGGGTGATATCCAGGCTGCCTGTGTAGGAGGAGAAACTTCCAGAATAAGAGGAATGGCTGCCGGTGGCGATGCCGCTGTCAGATGAGCTCTGACGGCCAATCTCCTGAAGCTGACGGGGGGGTTTTGCAGACGGCCGGTTTCCACCTCCCTGGTTGACTGAGAGCTTCTCGATGCTCTGTAATGCCGCTTTAGCGCCCACATGGCCGGTGTTTTCGGATGGGTTGGATGCCGGTTCGGTCCAAATGGCCAGCCGGCTGCCAATACTGCAGTCTGATTGGCTGGTGTCTGACGTGTCGGAGGAGCCAGATATGCTGCGGTCGTCCCCCCCAGCAGACGTGCAGTACGAGACTGCCAAGAGAGATGATATCAATAAAACTTTATTGGATTTAATCAACGGCATTAACAAAAAAAAATATGCTTTCATCATGTCATCAATAAAACATTAATTATTATTATCCTTATTATTAAAACATAATCTCCTCGTCCGTTTTTCCTCAGTCACTATTCAACACTTAATAGGAACTATAAATCACCCTTCTCTATCTGCAAACTTAATTTAAACCCAAACACAGCATTATTAAAAGCCAATGTATGATTTATACTCATTGCTGAGGAAGAAGGATCCCTGTAGTAAAAGAATGACTCTGGGTGTTTTGGGATGAATATGTAATGAAAGATACACCTTCAGGGAAGGAAGATTTGTAAAATGGGCAAACATTTAGCTGCAGTTTCGCCTTTGAAGGAGAGCAGAGCATTACAGTAACATCCTCTACCTGTGCTGCTTCTGTGAGAGAGCATGCTCAGCCGTTTCTCCAGCTCCTGGGCCTCGTGGTTCAACCTCTCCTCCAAATTTGTCTGACTGGCGGGGCTGGGGTCTGTTAAGAAGAGCATCCGAAGCACAACTTCATCCACAAAAATGTATTATGTGCCTAGTATAACATCTTGCCAATTGACTACAGTTGAAAATTAGCCTGCTGGCTAACACTGGCACATTTACAGAAATGTTGATTAATGTGCACTGTCCTTAAATAAATAAATGAAATGAAATGAAATGAAATGAAATGAAAAAGGCTTATTTCATATATACAACTTGTTATAAAACATTCAAACTAATTAGTGACTACAGGGTATGTTTAGTGCGTCTTGCTACTGTCACAGATGTGGGATCAAATGTGACGCAGCTGAGCATTTTGTACTGCCCTGACACAGGCACAGCTGTGAAAACACATCCAACTACTCCAGAGAAACAGGGAGAGACACTTTGAACCACAAGGGTCTCAGTCACATCTCTGTGGCACCGTGGAAATAAATGTATCAGCCACAACTTGTTAATGAAAGAAGAACTGACAAACACTTCGGCAGGAGTGCTGTGTACCAATATTTCGTCAGCGAGTGTCACAGGCCTTTGGGCGAGGGTCACGCAGGGGAACACCAGTTTTTGTACGACACTGCAGGGTTTATTAATAGCGCTGCCACGTGGCTCTGTTGGTACGCGCTCTGCTGTTGTTGGTGCAGTTCTAGGATCTAATGTACCATGGACCACCAAGGTCAACCCTAACAGTGGATCAATTTTTTGTTATCTGTCCAAGCCTGCAATGGTTATGTGGTAAATGGACTCTGCAAAAGGTTCAGATCACATTCTGCATGTGAAGTACCGAGAGTATACAACAATGAAAATATAACAGACTGGAACAAGCTGTTCCATGACTTCAGTGAGTCTTGCTACTGATGCCCCTTTTCTCATATAGTTATATGTTGATTACATGCCTAGAAGACAAAAGGCTGTGTGTCCTACTGGTATTTAAATAAAATGCAAATCATAACATCAAGAGGCACATATTCCCAGCTGAAAATCTGATTATGCAACAATGTATGTCAGGAATGCAAATAGATGAACTATTAATAAATGTATCACTGCAGTCTAGTGTAGACAAATTAAAATTGAAACATTGATTTGAAATCCAAACCGAAAGCTTCAGAGCTAAGATTTCAACTAAAGTTTAACTTTTGCATTTAGTCAGACAGCTCAATGTTCTCAATTATCAATTTATTCTCCTTCCTTTTAAACTTCTATCTTGAGCTAGAGACTAAACTCTCTTTGTCCTACTGTACATCACACAAACACCAGGAGGCACAGACTCCCCAGGTTGCTTGCTGAAAAACAAAGCATCGCAAAAGTACAAATAAATAACTTCACATTTCAGGAAATGCATTTGGCTTAAGGAAATTTACCAACTGCATTCTAGCTTAAAGATAATTGGTAAGATTCAAACTAAGATTTTAAAGTTTAAGACTAAGATTTCAAATACTTGTACAAACCTTGTAAAGTTCACACTTAATACTTGTAGAATATATTCTTATTATAACCACATTGTTTTTGTCATGATGAAAACATACTTTCGTCTTAATGAAGGTTCTGCACTGCGGTGGTGTATTGTTGCTTTCAATCAAAGGCTTTGTTTACTACAGCATCTCCACTATCTGCTGCTGTTCATCATCTGAGAGAAATTCAACATCATAGTTCCTCTGCACTCCATTTAAGCAGGTTTCTCTGCCATTGCTGCTATGTGACAAGCAGCATGCCAGCATGACCAAATGCAGTGCAGCCAAAGAGATCAAAAAAGGAGTGCGTCTTAGACTTGACTAACAGGTGTCGCAGCCTATCACATGCCGTATTTTTGCGGTTTGCTCATCCCAGCTAAGCTCCGCTCACGCTTCCTCCCCCACTTTGACCAAATTAGGATTTTCTGGCTACTGTAACTGGCAAAGATGGCAGTGAGCTGTACACAGGCTTCAAAAGTATGTCCTCACTACATTTTTCTCATGTCTATGATTATGAGATTAGGAATTGAAACTAAATAAACTGACTAACAGCCCTTACTAAATTTCGTTGTACCTTCACAGTGCAAAGACAATAAAGACTATTCTATTCTCTTACAATAATAATATAATATTAAAATACCAATAACAGTAATGGTAATAATAATTTACTCCTGCATCCTTTGCAATCTGCTCATTGCACTATTGTCTGAATCTATTTTGTTTTGTTTATAGTGTGTGTATATGTGTTCTCTATACTGTAGCCTGTGCTTGATTTTATTACTGCATCATTGTGTTACTGTATTATTGTATAAGTAAGCACTTTGTGAGCATTGTACAATCCAGAGTCAGATTCCTCGTATGGTATGTGTACACATACTTGGCAATAAAAGCTGATTCTTATTTCTTACTGCTCTCCAACAAATTTGCTATACCCAATTAGAGGAAAATATTGTACTTGTTAAATCATAAAATCTTAGTTTATACATTATTTTCTAACAAATTTTAAAGGACCAACTCAACATTTTGGAAAATGTGATAGATCTGCACACTAACTCTGAAGCTACAGCTAGCAGCCGGTTAGCTTAGCTTTGAATAAAGTTTGAAAACATGTAGCTTAACTCTGGCCAAAGGTAACAAAACCCACTGGGTTAAAAAATAAACACCTCTAAATTCATTCTAATTAAAACCTTAATTCTTATTTATTTAATCTGAACAAAAGAACAAAGAATACAAATTACAGCTGGCTTCAGCTACAAATTTACTGTAAACATATGTGTGTGTTATTAATCTTCTCATATGATACAACTATTGGCAATCAAGTGAATATTAGTAAAACTATTCCTTTAATTTTAACCGTATAAGTTAAAAGTTATATTTCATGTCGGTAAAGCTAACTAGCTAGTCAGTTAAAATTTACACTTGAAGCTGCCATAGTTATCCCTATCGTCTCACCACACGACATTTTGATTACTCGTTATGTCTGTAATTTTCTAGATGAACGTTCTCTTACTGAAGGTTTAAAATTCACGGCAATAAAATTTGTATCCTGGAGACTAAAAGGCAGAGAGAGGCGGAAACGGTTCGACACACAAGTGAGCCTGGAAACACAACAGCACAAACACAAAATAAAGGCGGAGATATTTAGTCAGGAGCTGTGTAGGATGGAGACAAGGGCTGACGTGAACCACAAGTGAGAACAAGAGATGCAATTAAGGGCTGCATAGAGGAATAAGATAGAGCATAAAATGAAGGAGAGTCAAGCAGTGGGTGACAGAGTATGAAATGAAAGGGGGGAGGCAGCAGCGGAATCCTGTGGATGAGGTTACATACATGCCCGGAGTGATTAGGAGGCTTTGGCTGTTCTACTTGCGTGAACTGTGACTTTGACCCCTTGCTCTCCCTCCGACATCCTCCCTGCTATTTATTCTACTACACACCACAATAATAGGAGTATGAGCTCAACCTGCGATTGGGCGGCGAGATGTGTGAAAACCAGAATATCCCACAAGCCCCCTCAGCTGCCTGGCCCACATTTCCTGTTAAGTTGCACACTGGGTGAGAACATTTTTCAAAACTGCTAGTGTGGAAAATTGAAGGTGCTAAAGTGGACAGCAGGGGAGCAGATAATGTTTAACGGCTGTAATATTAGATCTAGCATCCAAATGCGTTAATAAAATAACAGATAAAAGGTATGAGAGCATTGTCTTGTCTGTATCAGACTATTTCTACCAATTCTATGTTTGATGATAACTGATTTCTTAGCCACTTGGAGTCAGCAAAAACAGGCTGTAAACACAACAATGACATACTTTGCTAACATGCTAGCAAACAGTTTATTTGCGCATTCAGCAGATACGGAGCAACATGGCCATTGATTTGGTATTTGTGTCCACCTGACGAATGTAAGTGCAATATTCACCCTCCTTTTGTTGGTTTCCACCAACTCCACTTCAGTTCCTAAAATGCTCCCCTATGTTTACCAGCTAGGCTAATCCTGTTGTTTGTTGCTGTGCAGGAAGTGTACAGTGGATTGATCAGAGCCTAATCGATGAAAACAGTTGCAGTGACGCTGAATCAAAACAGTAAAACCAAAACAAAAAGCCAAAAGACCCTAAAACTCTCGGTGTCGGAAGGTTTTAACAATGTGGAGGACCATCTTTTATATCAGATAGGGTTGAAACTTATAGTATTTCTTCATGACGTCTTCAAATTGCCTGTTTTGTCCAACCAACAATGAAAACCCTAAAGATATTCACTTTCCAATCACATAAGACAAAGAAAAGCAGCAAATCCTCTCAAAAACTTTGACAGATTATCAAATGTATTCATTTTCTTGTAATCCACTTTCAGCACTTAAATGAACAACATTGATGTTATTGTGCAAAAACAAGTTATGCAGCAGAAAACAGACCTAAAAGTATTTTTTTAGCAAAGAAACTAAGCAGATACTGTCGAGTTTTTACAGTGGTTGGTAGATGAACAGGAGAGCGAAAGAGCTGATGGTGGACACGCTACAGTATAATGTAGCAATATTCTACCATTTTAACTCTTTGGAAAACGTATTATTCATTATTTTATGAGTTCAAGCGCAATTGAACAAAATTATTCAGTAGTTTCAATATTATTCAGGCTTTACTTATTTAGTCAATAATTACTGATAGGGGTAGTGTCTCAGATACTTGTGCAATGCAACGCAATGTAAATGTATGGTATGATGTGTGTCATTGTGAAGTCTGTGTTACTGCAGCCTTGTGCGTCACGGATGCCCAAAACAAATTTTCCTTAGGGGACAATAAAGTTGAACTTGATCTTTATTATACTAATATTCACAAATGGAGATAATGAATTTCACTCATTAGGTCTATCATTTAACCAGTATGCTTGGCATCTTTGACAAATTAAAATCTTGTCAGACAATCCTGCTTTAATAACAGTAAAAAAAAAAAACCAACAACAATGAATGGCTGTTGGGAACTCGTCCCGTCCTCCAGCACGCCCACCAGTAGCACTACACAGTCAACTATACATAGACTACAATTGAATTTGCTGCCATAATCACAGTTAGTACAGTAGATATCCTCTTACTGATGTTTAAGGTGACCCAAAGCTTTACATTCAGTACACTTAAGTCAGGGGTTAGGGCGTTTGACTAAAATTATAAAATTGCTTCAGAGGATTACACAATTACGTAAAAAAAAAAAAACAGCTGTCAGTCATAATTTAGTCACATCAAAGCACATCCATCCACTGAGGAATCCTCTGACTCATTCTGCCAAAAATGGGTGGATTCCAGGGAGCCAGCATGAAAAATCCCTGGAGGCACAGAAGGGGAGCCATGCAGGGTTTGAAATGGCAAGTGTTGACTTAAGTGTTTGCTCATACTCCTTGGCAACAGCGTGGCTATTAATTATCCAAATAAGCATCACATTGAGATCATTGCCCTTTCTTTATATAATAGTCCTGAGAACTAAACTTTTCCTTTCTGTGAAGAACTCTTATGTGCAGTTGGTTTTTCCAGTCCTTTCCAGCTAAGGAGCTTTAAGCACCTCTGGTACTGACCTGGCAAAACTGGCCGCAGTCCAAAGGGGCCTCTGGTGGGGGAGATGCCTCTGACGATGCAGTCGAATAGAAAGCTGATCTGCTCACTCTCAGCAGATGAAAGCAGAAAAACACCGGCCCCTGTAGAAAGCAGACTTTATTAGTGTCACGTTATTTTTTGCAGCACTGAAATATCCACTACCAGGGCAAATATTCTGTATTTAGTAGAATTTTACTTATATTGTTTGTTTTGGCACCACTCCAAAACCCAGCGATTGTCAGTTTACTCTCACACAAGTTAAAGAAAAATCAGCAAATACTCACAATTAAGAAACTGGAACCAGAGAAAGTTTGGCATTTCTTTCCTTTGACAACAGTCCACAGGCAAGCTAGCAGCGCTGTGAGGGTGTACTTACACAGCCACACAGCTGTGCTTTAGGCTTAATGCTAATATCACCATGCTAATAACAATCCTAACACAAAAATTATAATTTTGACCTAAAGATGGTGGTAGATGAAAAGTTGAGGGATCACCAAATTTATTACAATCCATCATGAGGGAGACGTTAAAGTCTGTACCAAATTTCAAGGCAATCCATTCACTAGTTACTCTTAAAATTTCACTCAAAACTACAACCTGTCAACCTGATAGATGCGCTAGAAAAACATTTAGAGGTTCATCAAACTCATTAGGACTCGTCAACTGGACATCATGCATATCTGTACAAATTTTGTGGCAATCCGTTTGATAGTTGTTGAGACATTTCAGTATGGATAACTTTGCTTTAATAAGATCAATAAAATATAGTCTAAAGCTGGAAAAACTGTGATTTTAAAGGAAACTACAGTATATGATCAAAGAATAAGTGACGAAAAACAAAAAATCCAACCAAACATTCAGTGCTAACTTTTGGTACTTGACAGTTTTTGATAGTCGGTGCCACGGACACATATTGTTCCACAAAGGCATTGAGGTTTGATACCCAGCCCTTGTAGTGGCTGCTGCATTTCATATTAAGTCACAAAAGAAAACCTAACTTCCTCTTTATTGCTCCCAGTTCATCCTTCACATCAATTTAAAATGTCATCAAAAGTGAATAGAGAGGCTAAAGGCTGTGCTCCAGAGGTCTCTGACAGTACAACTTACAAGGTATCACTAACAAAGGGTCATTATGTTGCCCTATCCCTGAGACCACCCATGTCAAGGCAGGCCTGAATAACATTCCCAGCACTGCCCTGGCTGTGAGCAGGGTCAAAGGTCTGCAGCAAAGTTTGCACCAGTCAAAATTGAAGATGTATTGCCTGCTTAGTGCTGTTGTGATATGGATCTCCCCGCAAGCACATAAACTACCTAGGTTAGACTCTGAATTGTATCTCTACAAATCTTTGTACTCATGTCATGCTTATGATAGCAGGTGATTGAACATCAGGTGCACTGCCAAAAGCTACGGTACAGAAAAAACACAAGGCACAGATGGCAGGGTTTGTTTAGATTACAATCCAATACAGATTCTGTGTAGGAACAAAAACAACTCAAGTGGACCCTTCTGGTCTCTCACAAAGTGATAAAACAAAGCATCAATACAAAGTAACACAACTTAATACATAAACGTAAATTAGCTCATATATTCACTGAGAGCAAAGCCCGGCATTTTTATTCTTACAGCAGCAAATCCATCCAAGCAGGAAAACATTAAAGATGCTTTTCTGTCTATTCACCAGTCATCGATGTCTACGGAACCAGTGCCAGCTTCCCTCAGAGGTACCGATCAAGGTTATTATGGTTTTGGATTTTTCATTAGTTTTTATTTTTATTTCTTTTGACTTTTTGTTTTTAACGTGGGTTTGCTAGTTTAGTTTAGTTTTTATTTTTGGAAAATGCGTTTTAGTTAAATTTTTATTCGTTTTAGACTTTGTTGCTGCACGATGCCAAACTCAGTTCAGTTTAGTTCAGTCCAGTTTAGTTTTTTCACAAAACATTAAAATACAAGTACAATCAGAAATATTTGTGTAAAGGGACACCCTTTTTTAAATATGAAGTACTGACATGTTGTCAAAATAAATACTTCAAATAAATGAAGCACATGCAATCTACAGTATAATTTCTAAACTACATACAGAAAACCCTAAGAGCTAAACTACCCTAATCCTACAGTGGTATCGGCAAATCAACGCGCGCACCGCTGAACTGCCGGTCCGGCCAGACCAACTGCCCCGCAACATCCCCCGGCTTCATATCCACTCGAAATGCAGGCTTATTAGGTCCTATAAAATAAACAAATAAATGAAAACTAAGGACATTTAATCTTTCATTTTGGTTAGTTTTGCAAACCTACAACACAGTTTTAGTTAGTTATCGTTTTTTGCTACAGCCTGCATGCGTTTATTGCAGGATTTCTGTATGAGAGTGATTGTGTTTCGGATTCTGCTCGCTCATGAGTTCAAGTGAGCACGTGTACAAGCACACGCCTGGTAGCAATCTTAAAACCGCACCGCTAGTGGCCACTGGAAACTACATAATGACCCCTTTAAGTCCCTCCAAAAAAATTTAATTATCCCCAAAGCAATCCTATAATATAGACTAAGTGCTATTAAATTACTGTGACTGTCTAAGCAGCACAACAAGCTACAAACACAACACAAACATATTATCATTACTAAAACATGCTAGAAAACAGTTGCCTTTTTCACACATCCAGCAACATTAGCATTCTGCTGGAGTTGTGTTTGTCCGATATTTAATCTTCTTTTAGCTCCATTTTTGGTCTCCACCAACTCCAGATGGAAATGTCTGGCTCTTCAGCTGCTAAATGCTATACTAAGTTCACTAGCTAGTCGCTAAATGTATCTGTCTGCCGTTTGGTGCTGCCAGGATAGTAGTGTACAATGTGTTTTTAGAGTTTTTTTCAGTGATAACAGCTGACTGCTGCATCTGGAAATAATGTTAAGATCTGGAAATAATGATGAGATCACTGAGAGTGAACAAAAACAGTGAATTTGGGCACTGCACAACTAAAACAATGAGCCGAAAGAGTTAATAAATCTTGTAAAAGTTGAGATGAACTACAGCGCCAGGTGGAAATTCTCTGCAGGTTTGTCACTACAAAAATCTCCTCAACATTACACAAAGTGATTTGATCCATTTTTAACAAAAATATTGGTGCAGCTTTAAAATCTTCTGTTTGAGGAAATCTGTCATTCTGATCATTCAAGAGATTAAGAAAAAGTATATCAAATATGGCTGCAACTAATTATTATTTTCATTATCCATTAACATTTGAGTAAAGCTTCTATTAAAAGGTCAGAAAGTAGTCAAAAATGCCCATCACTCTTCAAACTGCTTGTTTGTCTGTCCAAAATGATAAATGTATATAAATGATAAATTGCTAAAAAATAATTAATTGTTAATCTAGTGTAATATTCTAGTTTTTAGTGTTAGTTCAGTTTAAGTTAAGATTTGCTGTATTTATGTGATTATTATTATATTGTATCCTTATGTTGTTTTATTTTGTGATTCATGTGTGACTTCTTGTTGATTCATTTCCCATCTATCATTGTCCATATGACTAATAATTGTAGCACTTACTGTATATCAATGTGTGATAAGTGTTTTACATATACACACACAGGAATATAGTAAATGCTCGAAAGAGCCCTTAAACACATCTCCTGACACACCACAACACTGGCTCCTTGGCTCACATTCCCTACTAATAAACTAGAAACCTTGGAAGATAAACTATCAAGCACGACATGGATAAGAGGTCGGACAAAAGCAGCTCTCAGATCTACAGTTGCTTCAACCAGAAGTGAGAGGTCCAACGCTGTTATACCATTTCTCCCTCTGCTGTGTATAAACTTTGCTGAGAGATTACATGTCACAGGAATGCACGCCCTTCAACACAAACATTTAGACACAACTTCATGACCCCCTGCCTTTGCTCTTTGTTTGTACATAAAAGTGTAAGTGATTTCTGACCATCTTCATATAATGTGAGATCCACTGCTGAAGATTTAATGAAGCTAAATAAATCACACATCACATTCTGAAGTGTCATGTTTCCAGCAGGGTCATCGTGTGTCCGCAGCGCTCTGATGTTTGGCGTTCCCCTCGTGTCTGTCCCTGTCCCCTCCAGGTGTTGACATACGCTCCTCTCTACTTTAATGGTTTCATGTCTATTCCAAGATGTAAACTGCAGTTTACCTTATCACGGGGACACACACACACGGGTAGGACCGTAATAAAATGAGCATGGGCATAACTCTTGCTTCTCAAAAACAACTTCTCTGGAGTGATGCATGATGCTGAATTTTAAGCACAGCAGGGGTGATCCTGCACAGGCTGAATAATTCTCCTCCAGCTGGTTTCTTATAGTTATGAAGCAGCTGGTTTTCTAATGCCCAATCCACCAAGTCGGGGCAAAACAAACGAGAACGAGTGAAAAATAGTTTCCTGCCATTTACGTAATATGCTTGCTATTACTCATTGAGGTAAATCAAATTTCCAATAACGTCCCACTATTTCAATTTTCCAAGTGATATTTGGATTTAACCGCAATCACATGACACATGACCAAAAGTATGTGGACAGCCAAAAGCATTGCATAATTGTTACTCCAACACCAGAGGCATGAATCTGCTGCTACAGGCCTTCTACAAGATTTTGAAACCAGGGATTTACTCCCATTCAGCCACATGAGTATTAGTAAGGTTGTGAACTAACTGTTGGCCAACGAGGCCCGGCTCAGTTAGTGTTTTACTTTATTCCAAAAGGTGTTGGCTGGGGTTGAGGTCAGGGCTCAGTAAAGTTCTTCTACCCCAAAATATGCCAACAATTTCATGAACAACCTGGTTTTGTGCACACACTATTGTCCAACAGAGGGATTCCCTATCAGGGTACATCAAGAGGGTACTTCCAGGGTGGGGGCGGGAAAAAGCAGCTCAGCTAATTTGCTAAAACAGAAATTATGAGTTGCCAAAAATATCCACATAGTTGTTTTGAGGAGGAAAATATAAAAATAGCATCACAAATTTGCACCAGAACAGGTTTACATAGTTTAATTTTCAAAAAACACCATTTTTTTTTCATACTGCACATTGCTGCAGCTTTCCACCGGTGTTTTTGAGGGCGTGTAAGAGTAGCCGCTTGGCGAGCGTTATATGACGAGCATTTTGCGTTCATCCCTGTGACGACACAGGGATGAAAGGGAAGCGGCTGGACTACAAACAAGCTGTTTTCAGGCAGTTCAGAGCAGAGTTTTCTGTGGGAGATGGGAACTCCCTTTGGGCTGGACTTTGGGCCTTTTCACTTTGCAAACCTATTACATGCACAAAAAGGTATATAACTAAGAGGGGGAAAAGCCAAACGGCATAATACCACCTCTTTAAGTAATCGATAAATAGTTGAAACACCAGCTTTTGCTGCTCTACGTGGTTGAAGTATGAATGCCAACATGAATGAACTGAGTGAAAAAAAACAGACCAAGCCTAAACATCAACTATTCCAGGATCACCATGTCATGTATGGGTTTACATGGGTAGTCAGAGATCCACCAGAGGTGCCTGAAACCATTTCGTAAGAAAGTGGGGGAAAATACGGTTGGGAAACACTAGTCTAAACCATAATTGAAGTATGTTTCATTAAGATTTCCCTTAATTGGAACTAAGTGAAACCATGAAAAGCAGCCCCAGACAAAAATGACAGGGAAGTACGTGGTAATGGGTGTTTTTTGAAGCATGTAGTTAATTCAGAGTTGCACATGACATGACTGTACTGGGAATCAGACTCTCTTTCACAGACTGCTGAATGAAAGCTACAAATGAATTATCTCAAATTACCCTGTTTGAGGAAGACACCAACAAAACATGACTCAGATTGCGATTTAATGAGCTATTAGCTTCTAATGGTGCGACCCTATTTTACTAAAGAGACTTTATTGTCATGAGATGAAGAAGACAATGTTTAACGTGGTTGCACAACTGTTAGTCTTTTCTCAAAACCACACTGTGTTTGATTTTAACTTTGTCTAAAAAGGTTTTTTTTTTTTCTTGTTACTTTAAATTTTCTGTCTCCTTTATGCTGTTTTCTAATCCTTCCATGTAGTCAACCACTCACTCTTTGTGGTAATGAAAAATGTACTTATGTTAAGTTTATGTCCAATGTTCATTAATCTTAGCACTGTTTTTATAGTTCCTTCAGTTCCCCTCATGTTAACCAAACACAAGAGTGCTGTTTCAGCCTAATAACCAATTATCTTGATGCCTTGAAGAACCATCTGTCAAACACAACATTATAATAGCTAAATGGCCAACTTACCTAAAATAAACAGATCCACATGCTGCATAAAATAACAACATAAAGAGCAATAAACTTACAGTATCCACATCGTGTTCCTCCCTCGAACACAAATCCATTGGGTACAGGCCCATATCTGCGCAGGTCTGGAAGGTTCCAGTGGCCGATAATAACAGGAGGGACGTCCCGGGCCAGAGCCAGTAAGTTGTTGCATAAATGAAGAGTTGCAGGTCCACTCTCTAACTTGGTCCCTGGTAAGACTCCAACGCTGAATCTGTGAACTAATTAAACACAGAAACTAGTACAACAATGAAGAAAAGCCAATTACAGAACTTCAAGAACTATCCAACAAATCTATTTTATTTTAAAAAGTAGAGGGACTTGCATCTTTCTGGATGTGGCTCTCCTCTACTGCCCTACAGGAGAAGTAAAGTCTGCACAAGCATGGCTTTTGTGATGCATTGACATTCCCTGTAGTGAGGTGTGCAGGAATGAACAATACAGTTTAAGTCATGCGAAAGCAATGGTCAATGTAAAGGAATCGTTTGAGATGTTGGGAAATACATTTATTGTCTCCCTTGCTGAGAGTCACATGAGAAGATGATTACCACTTCCCTGTCTGTACAGTAAATATGAAGATAGAGCAAGCACCCATGTAGCTTAGCTTAGTTTAACTTAGCATAGCATAAGGACTGGAAACGGGAGACAGCAGCTAGTCTGGCTCTGTCTGTATGTCCTTTGGAAAGAGCCCAGCTACTCTTTAACCTTGTTTGCAGTCTTTATGCTAAGCTAGGCTAACCAACTGCTAGTGGTGGCTTCATATTTACTGAACAGACATATGAGTGGTTCTGCTTTAAGTGTACTTCTCAAAATGTCATTGGAGAGAGTGTAGTTTTGTTGATAAAGACATGTTTTATGAGTTTTATGGTTCACTTTAGGACTGCACACCTTAACAATCAAGATTTAAGCAGGTTGACAGTAAAACTACCCAGATTTTGGTTAGAATCCATGGGCATGAAGAGAGAAGATTGAAAATAGCTGCAGTAAGGTTTTACAGGGGATAGAAAACATGCTGTCTTTACACAGTGATTACTTCAGCACGGATTTAATTTCATTCACTAATAAAAAAGGAGAAACAGCTGCACAGAGAATGAAATCAGCGAGCTGAGCTTTGAACACAACTGACTTAGATCTAAAGCCTAATGCAATCAACCAAAGTCTGTCATAAACATCTGTGTAACTGAGCCTGTGTACTGTTGCTCATAAGAAACTAAAGAGGAAAACTGGATGTATGCACACAAAATTTGCACTTCAGCCTAAGAGTTCACAGAACTTCGTCCAACGCATGTGTGGAGTTCCACAGCAGTGCTCAGCCAAAGACTGCATTGAACAAACCTCGCCAGGTGAGATTGATGGAGGTGGCGATGAGGAAATGTCGGCCAGCTGCGTCACGTCATCGCTCACGTTAAGAAAGATTCATACGGTGTCACACACACACAAACACACGCACCAACAACAACAAAAGCTCTGCGCACGGTGGCCCTCGGCCCACAGCCTGGCAGGTGACATTTCGGCTGGTTTGGATGCACTCCACACTGTGGCATTAAGCTTTAGGCCACATAACACACACACTTATCTAGCTCTACCAAAACACACATGCAAGCCTGCACAAACACAGGTGCATCCATATAAGCAAGCACACACACACACACACACACACACACGACTGGAAGGAACAACTGCGATGCAATTTGTCTTTAGCACCATGTCCTCTTCCACACAATCTACTCCCACAACATGGTCATTAGCGTCTGCTTTAAGTTTCAGCTGGACAACAGCCACCAGTAGAACAGGCTAATACTATTTATAGCTCCTATTTGTTTATCACCTATATCACTTATATAACACATCCACACAGTATGGCTATAAATTAACATTTAATTCTATGTCAGAAATGCGTAGAGCATGAATAAAAAATATCTCAATAATGATCCTCATCCTCCCATAATTCTCAATTACAAGAAAAGTTTTTAAAAGTTTTAAAATTAGCATCCCTGACATAAAAGTTTGTGTGATGAAATCTGGTTAAAGATCTTTCCCATTAGCTCTCGTCATGATGCAAACTGGTTTGTTTTAAAATGGGAGGATGAAGCAGAAGCATGAGACGGGATGATGACCTTCGTAGTTTTAGTAGGGGGCGCTTTGTGACCTTTTATGTCCAATGCATCAGTACTCAAAACTTTGGTTGATCACAAAACTATCAAATCAAATAGAAGTAGAAAGTTGTTAAAAACACCACAGTTCCTTGACCTACTAATTTCCTGCATCCAGCCTGCTTCTTCATTAAAATTGTATTTAAATTACTTAATAATGTAGCTTCTTACATTTTACCCATGTTACCAACCAACCATTTTATCATTTTCATAGAAGCCTAAAAGGCCAACAGCATTTTAGAAAATAATTCATAACCTCAATAAAAATATCCCAAATAACCATCTGCATCTAGCTAAGTAAAAACAAAACAGAGATCTGTACATGAATCCTTAACAACTTATCAAGATGCTATGTTGTTTTTGTTTTTCCGACTTATAGTAGGATACCTCAACTTGATTTAGAGTCATTATTCAAGCCACCCTTTCATCCTGCCTGGGCCGCATTTTGTTTCCTGTCTTAAATAATATCTAGTCGAGAAACTGCAGCTTTTCCGAGCAAGACTCTTATCCTGTGTGCCACCTTCATTTAACTTGCTGCTGGTGGAACACAGGACTGAATTCAAGATTCTGCTCATCACCCGTCCATCAGACGGCTTTCATAAATCAGGCCCCTGGATATTTTCATAAACTGCTGACCCCTTTCTCCTCAGGCAGGACTTTCAGGTCATCTAACCAGAGCTTACTGACAGCTCCTTAATTAAAAATCAAACTGTAGTTGGTAGTTTTGCTGTTGTGGCCCACAGGGGGTTATAGTCTTCCTTGAGATATCCACAACATAGACTTTTAAGCTGCATTTGAAAACCTTGTTGTTTAGGCAATATTACTACTGTTTGTATTACACTCTTGCTTTTGACTTCTTGACCGAGCTCTAGAAAGGTGCAATCTTACTTCATTACTTACGACTAAAATCAATAGATTTGTTCACAGGGTTTGGCAAATTGCAGGGTACTTTTCTTTGACTGCACTGCATTTTAAACACTGAAACCTGCCAGCATGATGGATGAACTGATCTGGTTGTTGAGAGTTTGCTTTGATTAGAGTATAAAGGAGGTCAAATGTTGTGTTCTCCTGTAAAAATTTAAAGCAAATTCACATTGACGCAAAAGTTTTGGAGCAAAAAGCACCGCAAGTGAACCACCAGAAGAACGAAACATCAAAAACAAAGCACCAACGCGTCTCCTCACCTTCTCCGAGGCTGTATCGCAGGCGGACGTCCCACGCCTGCAGGGCCTCCTTGCTGTCAAAACCCAGTAGAGCAGCGTGGTTCAGGCAGAGGATGGCCAGAGTAAAAGGCACACCTTCATAGCACTGTCCCACTTCCAGACCGCAGATCTCCTCCAAGGTGACACTGGCCCTCTCCTTGTTGCCCTGCGCTTTGTCAGACTTGTCTTTAAAAACCAGTAGCACAAGGCAGTCTGGAGGAATCAAAGAGTCGGCATGAGACACAACAATGGTAGAAAAATAATAATTTCTTGTATTTAAGAAAGAGTCTCTAATTAAACTTCAATTCATACTACAGTTTTGTGTTATTTTAGACAGAATGTCTTGAGAATAAACACAGTTAAAATCCCTAATTGATTACACTGTCAAATAAGATGTATTCTGACACACAGTAGCTGCTGTAGCGTCCTCTAGTCTTTTGGCACCTTGAAACAATCAGTGTCAACTGACAAAACAAGACTGTGCACATCTCTCTCCTTCACACACGCACCTCTTAACCCACATAACTGAGGCATGAGAGCAGGCAGCTGTGATAACACTGACATCAAAGATCTGAAGACGAGCAGCACTCAACCTCAGCCTAACCTGTGGAGCATGTTAAGCTGCCCAGCACCAGATTTCCAAAGAAGTGTTTGTGTAATGCAAACATGGTTCAAGAATTTAGTGGACAAGTGAGCTTGGGAAACTGTGTTCTGAAATATTTTTAAAAACCTGAAGTTGTATATCAACCTTGCTAAAACTGAAAAAACAAAACAAAACACGTTCAACCTTGTGAATGTGTACAAAAAACGTGAGAATGTCAAACATTTGAGTGAAAGAAGAACACTGTGAAACAATGGGGGCCAACATTTGCACTTTAAATGTATGCACTCTGCTTTATAACTCAGACCTCACAAAAAACTGTTCTTTTTCCTCACACTTTCTGTAAACAAATATGATTTTTTCTCCTTTTTTAATACAAACTTTCCCCACACATTCACACACTCCTTGAACTTCTCATGCAGAGTCTTGTAACAGGTTTATGAGGGGTGAAATACAACCACAGGTTTTGAAACTCTTTCTGAACTTTATTTCACAAGCTCTAAAATCTTCTCGACCCATCTTTGAGCCCATAGACAAGGCCCCGATTTCTGAATATGCAAACACAAACCAGGCCTTATGAAAACAGGAAGGTCCGTGAAACTGGGAAACATGTTCACGCGCATTAATTTGTTTGCCCGCTGCGCAAAACCTTCACATCTGAGTCCAACGTGAAATGTGTAGACCTGACCGGTTACAAAAGTGTTAGTGTTTTTTTTTACCTGCTACGGGCGACGGCTTGCGCAGAACGAGCCACCTAGTTTTCCACTGTGGAAGAAAAGTAGACACAAACTTTTTTTTTAAAGCACAGATGAAAGTGCGTCTGCCATATCCGTCAGCAAATTTTTAGTCAAGCTACACACCTTTTTCCCATCTCTGAGTCTGGCATATCCCTCCACGACAACAGAATCCGTCATCTTCAGTCATGGTTCCTGACAGCTGCAGAGTCGCTGACTGAATGAGGGGTTACTTTCAAAATAGCTGCTCGCTCTCTCTCTCTCTGCTTGCGGGGCGCAAACTCGCCCCCAAGCAAGCCACACGGAAAATGGCACGACCAGTGTCTGACTGTCTGTCTGTGTCACCAGCCAACCGGCCGTGCCGCCGCCACCTGGGCTGGTTTCACACCACCTGCTGAAGAGTACTGGAAGACATGATCACATGATTCCCACTCCACAAATACCACATTTCATGATTATATTATTCACGCTGGTTTGAGAACTACACACACAGACATTACTTGTCCCAAAACACACCTCAAAATTGGAAGTGCTGGATGTGGCTCATTAAATGTGTAGTTGTATATGAACAGGTGGACTGTAACTTTATATTCAATATGTTCAACAAATAAAATTTGCTATAAATTAACCTACCCCAGCAATATATAGTCATTAAGAAGAGCCCCACCTTTACCAGCTGCAAAGTGACATGTAGCCTACATTAATCTATCAATGATTCTAATCCAATAATGTATAAATTTTTCTGAAATATGCCCTTCTGCATAATGATATTTTGATGCTAATACTTTTGAACGTTTACTTTTTAACACAGCATTTCCGCACTGTGGTATTGCTACCACTGAGTACTTCTTCCACTACTGTATAGGCCTATAGGTGTATTTGTAATTGATTGTACTGAAGAAGTTCATATCCAAAACTAGAAAAGGCACACGTGGTAAAAGTTATAAATATTTATTATTATGTGGTAAAGTCATTTCAGTGTAGAGTGGGTTATTTTTGATTTTTCATTGCTAAAATCCTGCGGCCTACCAGCACCTGACTGTTCTTGCTGTGCATGGGGAATTTCTTGTTTTATTATAAATATTTATATCTTTGATTTGAGTTGAAACAGCAGATTAAATGAAAGTGAGATAAAGGCTCTGCTAAAGTATGAGCACTGAATCAAGTTGAAGTGTTAATAAAGCGCTGAGTGAAGTTCACGGTTGAAGTTCAAGCACTGAAAGAATAAGTTTATAAGATATCTGTTGAACTTCAGCAGCATGTTCAAGGAGCTAAAATTGGTAAAGTGGACCCTGGGATTGCTTTGCTAAACCAAACGTCCAAAGTAAAGAAAGAACCTTGATGCTGATCTTTTAAGAACAACAATGACAAATCTTAAAAGCACTACGGATGGAACATCTACTGAGCTCAGATGTCTATCTATATCTCCAAGGCAGCTGACCAAACTCCGACTTGATGATGGACTGCATGACATTGTTGAAAGCTCAGCAAAAACGCTAGTAAGTGCTCCTTGAGTTGCGATTGTTTTGTGAAAACACTTCCAACTGTCTGAAACAGGACTCATTCATTAGTCTCAAAGACACTCAGAGCTTCATCAAGTCAGTAAGGGTTTATTCATTCACAAAATGTTTCACAGTTAAAAAATAAACTTCCACAATCATTACAAATAAAGTTAGAATACAATATAGTACAATATATCATATATTAAAGCTAATGTCCAGGTAACGTCCAATCATGAAGCCTTGGGTTTGCGTCTGATCACTGAATTGATCCAGTCGATATAGTTCACTACTTTAGTGTAAACACCAGGTTTTCCAGAACGGCCGCAGCCCTCTCCCCAGCTGATGATCCCATACAGGAAGCTGACATCATTCCTCGCACAAGCCAGAGGGCCTCCAGAGTCGCCCTGGGGAAACAAACAAGTACATACAGTCCACACACGTAAACATACATGCACAGATCAAAGGCACACAAACAGCTAGAGTCATACACTTGAAACTTAATATATTACTTAAAATCTGCACTCTGCCCCTGAGGTAAATAAATAACGGTGACATTTAATCTAAGAGGAAGGAGCTTAAATATTTTACACAGCAGGTTGGGTGAGTAGTCTGGCGCTGCAGACATTTCTGCAGACTTCAGACCCTCCCTTACTCCCCGCCAGCACTTCACTCAGGGGAATCCCTGCTGCCATCTTAACTGCAGTTCCATTACTCTGAGTCCTCGAGTCAACTTTCTGGTATCGACCCCTCCAGAGCAGAGGCTCCGGGAATCTATTTTGCCTGGAAGACTTCATGATCGGTCGTAATTTCCAATACTCCAGAGAAATAAGACAAAAATATTTATAAAAAATAGGTCCCGCTCTTTGTAAGTTCAAACTAGCCTTGTTTTATAGTATAAGAATACTAAGTAGAGGTTTATGCATCACTAAATTAAAATGAGGTGCACCACACAAACTAATTCTTACACAGAGATTATTTTTACTGCATATTTACACCTATTTACTTCCAGGTGTAATTGTTGGCTAACAAAACCAACTGACAAAGCTAACGTTAGCTTGTTAACATATAATATGTTTAGAGTGAAAGGTAAAAGAGGTAGTAATGAGTTATGGTCAACACATCTGACCTGACACTTAATTAAGATACTGTTAAATACCAATATAAACTACGAAATGTTAAAATTACACTTCACAAGAGCAACACAATCAACCTCAAATTAGAAAACATTATGCCAATAATGTCAGACTACATGAGCTAGCAGCAGCAGTCGTGGACAGAAATCACTTTCTGTCTTGAAATGCTTTTCCTACCTGGCAGGCGTCAACACAGCCGTTGAGCCCCGCACAAAACATGTCAGCGGTGACATGGTTGCCGTAAACGTCTGGCTTTCTACAAGTCTCATGAGGAATCAGTCTCACTCCACCCTCCTGCAGAGTATTGTAACCATTTGCCTCTGTCAAAAAAAGCACAAATAACTCATTACCAAAAAGTGGAACCTTGTTAACCTGAACAGGGCTGTGGCCGGGGATTTCTGTGGGATTCTCGCAGGATGGAAGTCAATTTCACTATTCACGGCGGGACTTGGTCGGGACAGGAAAGAAATATATACAGTATGTAAACGCTATTTTCTGGAGGGTTTTATTGGGAAGTTATCGGATGGGAGTCATTCTCATGAGATTGGGAAGGTTGTTTTTTTTCACTCTGTCACAGGACGGGACAGAAGTATTTTTGTAGGTGTGGGATGGGACAGGACTGAAAATCCACTCCCGTGTCACCCTCTACCGTGGCCAGGATTTAAAAAATACTGAGGTCAGACTGACTGAGGCCAAGATCCCTAAAAGAAGGTCTAAATGTTTACTATTGTAAACAAGCTTGTATTTAAGGCCCCCAGTGATGGATAGGGACGGATGTGTACTGTAAGTACATTGACAATGAAGCCAAAACTTTTGCAAAGTGCAAACAAACGCTGGTTCTGCTCCACTTGATGAACAATTAGATAATTTATTGGCGTTGCACTACCCATACCAAATAAACTGTCCGTGATCTGTTCCAATGTGTGAATGTGGATAGCTGTTGTCACAATGAAACTGAAATGACACAGCACTGACATGATTTCCTCATCACTCACTCTCATGCATGTGTCCCCAGCCGCTAATAATACAGCAGTAGTCATCAGGGAACGTCACGCTTTTGTCTGGGAGACAGATGGGACTGATAAACGGGGTCCTCCTCACACAGTGCCCGTCCTCCTTCTTCAGTTTGATCAGAACTGGCAAACAGAAAGGCGGTGTTATGAAACGAGACAACCAAAAGTGTAGTTTAAATGATGAAACAAGTGGTAGACTTGGTGACTCCTGGCCAGTAAAACTGCTACACCCAAAAGTCAGAATGTGTGTGTGTGCGCGTGTGAGAATTGTGTGTGTATTCATGCGGGGGAGCACAGGGACACAGCTGTTGAGTGACGCACAGCTGTGCACGCAGACTAGGGTCTGAAGTTAGTTTATGTGTTTCTGAATGGGGAGGTCTTCTGAGTCACTGTGTGTGTGTGTGTGTGTGTGTGTGTGTGTGTACGTATTTAATGATTACCAATGTCATGAAGTGTTGGATTGAACACGGAGAACTGTTTTGGAAAGATGTAGTCCTCCACTCCGAATGTCCTGGTGTTGGGACCGGTGACGTTGAAACCATGCTGGCCGAACACCACGCGAAGCTGAGACTTCAGGGGGCTGAGGGAAGACACACTGTTATCAGTCAGAGGTACTGCAAAGTGTGCACTCATAGTACTTGTAATATTGTCTATTTGTCCAACATTTTATACCAGAGCCATGTTACCCTCACATCTACCGCCTAAATATCCTTGAAATCTGCTGTGGATGATCCCCAGAGGGTAAATCCTGGGAAGCCGCAACCTTTCTTTTAGCCCATCATTAGATTTCCATGAAATTCCATGAAAATTCATGTTTCCCCAGAGGATGAACCCTTTCCATTTTTAACCTGATATAATGATCTCTTGGCTTTCAGCCACACTGCTGGCGAGACTCTAAGTAATAGCTGAATCTCCAGTCTGTTGTTCATTATGTTCAACACTTTTGTACTGTGGGGTGTGATGAATATTGTCGACTCTTGTTCTGCTTTAATTAGTTTAAACAATTCCCAGTTGATACCAACTTAGCAGTTACAGCGTGTAAAAAAAGCAAAAGCCTTGCAAATATAATTTACTGTAAAAAATGGCTGTGAAACTGTTAAACCGCTGTGCACTTCCGTTCACTGCCAGCAACGTCCAATTTAATGATGCACTGCTTCAGGTAAAGATCTTTGAACTTGAACAATGACAGCAGCTGCCTGTTTGTTGACGTCGGAAGGGAAATGTATGCATTTCCATGTAAACAGCATCTGTGTGTGGGCTGTTTTTAGGTTTTCCTCGAACTGGATGCTTGTCTAAATATAGTGTGTTCACAGAGCTGTGAGGGGTCGAAGTCTTTAAATCACGTGCCTTTTGAGTTGTGACCTCTTGTTCAACGGTCAGAAAACAGCTAAGAGAAAATAATGCTCCCCTCTGAACTATGAATGTTTCCTGAAGGACATTGCCGACTCAAACTGAGCTCCCGAGGACACAAAATTTCTTTTTACTCCCAAGGTTTCAGAAGCACTTTGTGTGAGCAGGGCATTTTTTTCACATTTTGGTAAAAACAAAAACATTTTGGACAAGAGGGCTACAAAACCTTTGCCTTTTCTGCAGTGACATAAATACAAATACCAGCATCCACTGCATCTCAAGTGCACTCACGACATACTTGCGGAAGAAGCAGTGAGCCGCAGAGACAACCCAGCAAGAGGCGATCAGGCTGCCGGCGCAGAAGTCTGACTGTCCAATGTAAATGGCTGCCATCCAGGGGTGAGTGCCCGGCAGAGCGGACTTTCCACCCATTATCCGGCCCCTGGCTATCGATAACCTCTTCTTGTGCTTTTTCCCGCACACAGGCTTTTTTGCCGGCTCGTCGGAGTTTGTTTTTTTAACGCTGGGCGGGACATTCAATGGGATAATCCTCCGAGAAGAAGCTGCACGAGGAAAGAAGTGAAAGTACATGATTATTTCAAACTTATCAGATAGCAGGTTTTGTGCATATGCGTATGCTAAATACTCGATTTCTCCCCTGCGAGAAGCGAGAAAAGCTGCTCTATAGGGCAACAATGTTAGGGTAACAGAGCAACCACATGCTAAAAATCATATGTAGAGGACACAGCAGATGGGAAAAGCTTGTGGATTCTGTGCATACCCTTGGCATCATGACAGGCGGCCAACTGTGCCAAATCCCACTCACCACATAAACATTCGGCTCCACCTGACATGACATGTTGATTCAGGATGAGTCGTGCCTTATTTCCCCTTATCTCATCTAGCCCATATTGTAAAAAAAATAAATAAAAAGCTCTGTCACTGAACTTGGCTCAAATCAACTCTTCAGAGCAGCATGACTCAGTGGAGATTAGCTGTATTCTCCGCGCTTTCGGTTTTTATCACAAACACAGGATTTCTAATTAAAAGCGGAGGCATTTGATGAGCTGTTCCGAGTGTTTCTCAGATGACGAGTGTCGCTGGCTGCGTCACAGAGTCAAGGCTGAGAGCATGAAAATATCGAATGGTACAGCGAGTGGCCTTGATGAATAGTCTTTTCATACATTATTGATGAGATCAATGTTCAAATAGCAGTCTAAAATAATGACAGCTAACTCAATATGCCATCCTTGATAAGATTTATTAAGGTCTAGCTTTTTTGCCTTTGACTTGTCTCAACAATAAGGCCAAAAATAACCAAGGCCAATAATTAATAAAGAGAACAAATATGTAAAGCTGGGGTTTCAACATACATTAGCCCGAAAAAAGTCCCACTGACAACAACAACAAACCCCCTCTGCCCCCTTACTCACACACAGACATCACACAGGAGGGGACGTCACAGTACTCCCAGGAGATGGCGCTGTCCTTTAGTGTGTAGCACCACGGCTTCTTGTCCCCATCTGGGTTTCTGCACACACAGCAACACAACGGACAGAGTGTGTGTAGGTGTGGCCCCGCTGTTTATAATACCACACATTACTCAGTACAATGCAATTGCTAAGTGGCTTTCAAGGGCTCCATCGCTTTTGAATGTGGAGGCTGAAAATTCTTCACTTTCGTATACATATTGTTTTAGCAGGAAGGAATAATGTTTATTTGACGTTAACGCTGCAATGTGCAACTTTTCCGGCAATAAACTGACAATAAAGGCACATGAGTGTGCGCCTGTCAGACAGTCTGAGCTTGTGTCTAAAATCTCAATGTTTGCTTAAAATGGGCTTTTCTGATGTTCGGGACATTCTGCAGCACATACCATGTGGACATGCCGTATGACTGCCAGGTAGTCATAGAGCGAATGTGGAGGAGATAAGACCTGTTTATTGTTTTGTTTTTTTAAATAAACAAGGTAGATTCCCATTGTGCTTCCTTAATGCTCATGCTGGTTGCCTCTGTGTAGACGTCATCTGAGGGCTGATCTACAGTACATGAGTGACAAGTGCTGGCACATGAACTTGACAGATAAGGGCTTGGACTAGCAGACAGCGTGGGGGAAAGAGATGGATATTGCAGTTTTAAAGCGGAATTTATGGGAAATGTTTAAGGAAATCTGGCCTTGTAGATAAGCCAGCTGGGACTGTAGCAACCACAATATTAACCCAAAATCTACTCACAGTGTAACTAAAAGTAGCCGCCATCATCTGTCACAATTCTGGCAGACATCTACAGCAGAAGCTAATTACCATGATGTTTAAACACACACACACCTGCAGTAGGCATGTTCCCCGAGGCCCCTGAAGGACGAGGCAACCACCGTGCCCACATGGAGCTCGTCATACAGCAGGTCTGAGTTCCACGGCAGACACAGGGCGCCGGACAACGTGGTGCCCACCAGCCCTCTGTAACCTGTACCCCTGTTTTTATAGCACTCTGTCTCCGGCTCTGCACACACATGCATGCACACAGACCACAGGCAGAAACACACAAAACAAATACACGTCTCAATCGTGTCTCAGCACAGGCCGTGATAACACAGGTGTATAAACAATATAAACGTAGTCAGACAATTTCCGTATGCAGATGAGTATCTGTGATGACAGATCTCTTTCCTCCACACAGGAATCAGTCAGAACACGTCCTAAAAAAACTCTCTGGATGCATTAAACTGCAACAGTTACAACAACTGTGTGCAGGTTCGGCAGCGTGCTCATGTCTTTTCCTGCCACCATTGATCAAACCATCACAAAGCACACACATGCATGAACACGCATGCACTATGTGAACATGCACACATAAAGATTATTGCTACCTGTCACTACAGTCCTGCTTTCACTCACCAAAGCTGCAGTCTGGCCCGCTGTAGGCACTTCTGCAGCTACACACCTCCTTGCCGGTTGCCATGATCAGTCGACACGTTCCGTCATTCTTACAAGGGTTTGAACGGCAAGCTGGAAACATAAAGGCAAACCAGGTCACATCTTAATACCATACATGCTCTATATTTACACAGTGACCTATACTTCCAATGTAATATCTCTGTTATACAAATTGTTTATTTTTTTATTTAACCAGGGGGGAAAAAACATTGAGATAAAACAGTTTTGGTTTTACGCCCCACAATTTCACTATTCTGGTTCAGACTCCCTGCTCTCAGACAGACACAGTTAGCGACTAGGTGTTGAACATAGCGAAGCATTTAGCAGGAGTTGGTCTGCAGGTTGCGTAAATAAGCATCTGTTTGCCAACATGTTCGCCATATCAACTTCATAAGGTGATAATATTGAATGTGAATGTTATATCTTCATCATGTTGCGCTAAAACCACTACCTTTTTCAACCGTTCTTTTAAAAACCATTTTATGTTTATTCTATTCAAATTTTAAATATTTGTGTGTTTAACTTGTTTTTCATTGTGCAGTCCAGTTTTGTAGAACAACTCATTTATAAGTGTAGCTGTAACTTTATCTTTCCAATGAGCCAAAAGATAAAACTGATCTCAGTGCAAAAATTTAAATATAGCGCAATTTTATTTGAAAGCCAAATCAAGGGGCATTCAGGTGCATTAAGTTAAAAGGGAGGATTTTTCCCCCATGACCACTTAAAGCCCCTACCATCATGGCAAAAACTAGTCTTGGCTCAGGGAGTGTGAAACCACCTCACAGCCTCCCTCTCCTTTGTGCCAAGGGCTCTGTTAAATGCCCATGAACATCCCCCCATTGAGATGAAAGCACCTTACGGACCCATGGGGTGTGTCCTACAACACCATTCCTGAGTCACAGTGAGTCATATAATCTGTCTTTTCTTCCATGGCAAGGTTACTCCTGTAACTATGGAGCTGTGATCAAAGAATAAGAGCATTGCTCCGGGCTGGGAGGAGACCTGATACCTGTATTTTTTTAGGCTTGATAAGCAAGGAAATCAAAAAGCCTAAAGACGTCTTTTCTTTAGAGAGCACTATTTTCCGTTTTTACTCTCTACATCAGGTGTACGTCATGTAAAGTATTAAAAAATGTCTTACTTGTGTAGCGGACTCTTTCGCACTTGATTTCCCCTGCCATGCATGTGCACTGTTCCACATTACGGAGGTGAATCCGCCCCCAAGACTCTCCAGAGTCGTAATGGCGCAGGTGTACAGTTTCATAGCACTTTTCTGAAAAGCCGACACAATATATAAAAAAGGGGTGAAATGTGAGTGGAGACTGAAGAAGCTCAATGGAGCGTGCAGAGCACAGTTTCACTGCTGAGCTGTGCGAGACGCGTTCAAAGCGGAGACTCTTTTGTTGTGTTTATGTTTGATTGTTTTGTAGGTGAAGTCTGAAATGACTTTGAATGCAAGAAGTGAAGTGAAAGCTATTTGCAAATGACTCATAACAGAGTTTTTTCCATTACCTTGATGTGTCTGAAGCTAAAGGCGAAAGTTCTTGATCTTGGAAATAGTAGTTTCACTTAAAAGAAGACATTATTTAAATATTACTCTTGTCCACTCGCATGTCAGGTGAAATACATTTTTAAATGACATATATATGGTAAGCTTTCAAACACATCTCACTGTCTTCATCAGCAGATGGAGTTGGTTCAGTTGACGGAACTTTGGACACGTGATGTTAGGCAATATCACACGTTCTCTTTTTCTGATGTTCATTCAAATGAATTCAACCAACCAAACTCCATTCGCTGATGAAGACCATGAAATGTGGTTGAAAGCTCTGGGGAAAAGCCATAAATTAGACCTTGAGGTAAGATTATTTCATCACTACTGTTCCAAAGGTTAAGAATGAACTTTCATGCTCATGTTATGATTATATCTAAAAATAAAGTTAATGGAGTGAAAGCCTGCGTAATCCAACTGTTCTCCCTGTTAAGAATTGCTTCCTTTACACAACATGAATGTGACGGTAGAGTTCAGTTGGCATGTTTTCAAGGACTTATTTCCTGGCACAGACTTCTGTTTCTTTCTGTGGCTGACAGGTGATTCACCACAAGCAGCCTGATGTGCACAGTGATATGAAAACACTAGATTCAGCATAAAAAGTGCTGCAGGAATGAATCCTAAACTTCCGGTTCCCTCGTCTCAAAGTCAATCAGTTTTTTTGAATGGTGCCTGAAATAAGGTCTGTGGTTAACACAAGCTTAAAGGGGCTTTCAGACCAAAAAGCGAAGTGAGCGTTGGGGGCGGTGCGTTTACTGACAAAGTCAATGCAAAGACACATAGAACTGTGATTTCCTGTCGGGCGGTGCGGAGGGGGCACTGCCGGTCACGCAGTGGCCTTCGCTTGAGCTGAAAATTCAAATGAGAAAGTAGCATGACGCTGAGTCGCGATAGTCTATCAACGTTGAGATTATCCGGACGTCACCGACGGCTTCAGAGCGTTGTGTGGAGAAGCCCAGGCAGAGCTGGGGACTGAAATGCCGCTGGCCGGCGGAGAGCTGCTAAACATGGATGAGAAGTCGAAAAAGAGCACAACACCCGTAGTCGGACTGGATTATGCTCTGACTACGCTATTTACTAACGGGAGGAGCTCGGAGTAGACTGCTTTTATTAAATGAGCTTTTTACTTTAGTTTTTGGGATTACAGCGTTGATTTATCTTCACTCGAGCTTCTCGGCAGCTAGCTTCCGTGCACATCCGGTTCCACTGTTGTTGTTGCGTCGTTTGGCACCCAGAGCTCTGCTGGACTCCTACTTCGTATTTATATAAACAATGGACAAAACTGGACAAAATTAGAGAAAAGAAAGCGAGGAGGTTGAACTACCTGG